ATCGTGATCACAACGTATCTGAATTTTTTCATCTTTTGGCTCTGGTACGTGGAAGACCATGAAATTAGGACGTCTCAGCGAAATCGGTGATGAATCTGTGAGAGCAGAACTAGGTGCCCTTATCGGTATGGGTTGATGTTTATCAGCACGGGACGCCTGAACTCGATTACGTGGCCCTTTGCGGTTTTGTGTGGTCAATGGATCCTCGGTGCTCAGATCACAGACAGACTGAGGAATTCACGGACCGATCAGTGAAGCGGCATTTCGTAGGTTCCGAGTTTGAGTCCTCAACCGGTGGGGAACAATGAACCGGGGTCAAAAACGCTGGTGGTGGTGCAAATCGCGGAGTGACAAGGGAAGGCGAGGTGACAGAAGTACTTTCACGAGGACGTTTGACCCCACATGATGAACGGGTTGTTTCCGCCTGGAAGAGAGGTTGTTTTCTCGTAGTTGTTAGCGGTCGCTGTGTGTTCTGATGTCTTGCACCGCGACATTTATTACATACAACTTGGAAAAACCGATGTGGGATGTCGGGAGATTTTCGGAACACGTCAACCGATAAGCCAATGCATGAAATCTGGAATAAAACATCACAACCGAAGCATCAAAGTGCATGGGCTTTATGTTCAACAACTTTCGAACACGAACCACAAGTAGCTTGAGACAGCATCACAAGGTAGAGCAAATCCAAGATGGCGAACACAGATGACAGTTGGGCCAATCAATGAGATTTTCGGAAGTAGTCAAAGAATATCCACCAATGTGCATCGATTGGGAAATACACCAAAAGAATATTGGTGCACAATTCAAACACAGTAATCGGAAGCAAAATAATATCCAGCACACGGTGATTCAAAAATCCGCGACGTGAGAAGTGCTCCAGAAACAGAACTCAAATTGTGTTTACGAGACAGCACGGTGAATCGTTAACCAAATAGCTCGTAAAAATAGACAAATTGGATCCACTGGACAAGGTCCATGTACCGCATGCACAAACCAATTGAAAAAGACCTGATGAAGAGCGGACAAAGAAAAGCCGAGTAAAGTATGGATACTTGGCTTTTTTTCGTAATACACCACAAGAAATCCTAAGCTGGGCCGCGAGTTGCATTGGTCAATTCGTAAGTGGGGGACTTGCGTTCAGATAAGCAAAATCTAATAGACGCGGTTACCCATTCGGTGACAGGAAACTAGATCGTCGCCTCTCAGTACAACTGCTGGTAGTCGCAACTAGGTACCATGAAGCTGGTCGAAAAGTTCAGGCTGCAATGCAATACAAGAGAGTCAAGGACTGCGGGTTGGCAAATTTAGCTATCTCAGCGGTTAAGTAGCTTTCTACTTGAGTGATCAGGTGCTAGCTGTGGAGATGTAAGCAATGAATTAAGAGGTGAACAAATCGCTGTTTCGGTGTCAGATGGTGTTTCGCCTCATGGTAACACGAAGACAGAGTTTAGTCCGAACGTGATACGCGCCGTTACTGTGAAAAGAGAACACGATGTCGATGCCGGCAGGTTAGTGAGTGGACTCAACAGAAAGATGGTCAATACGAAAGTCCCCAAAGGATGATAAAAAAGTTAGCAGAATGTAAGTACCTAATTGAGTTCGTAGCAGTCAACAGTTGACTAAAAGCGAGGTCTAGTTTTATGAAATTTCTGACAAATACAGGTCAGAGCCTAACACTTGAATGCAGAGTGTATGGTTGGATTTGAAGTGATCAATTTATGCTTGTATCGTACAATTCTACTAGGAAACCTTGTACCCCAGGTGACAAAATGAAGCAAACGCACGGCCTTTCAGGATTAAAAAAACAGTGTATGAGGTAGACTATACGGGACGAAATCGTAAACTACGGGGTGAACAGCTAAAGGAGCGAACCAGCTTCGACAACGTCAATTTGTATTTATCCTGGAGTTGAACGCAATGCATCGGCATGTGACAGCTGGGCGAGAAAACCGATTGCCAATGCTCGCGCGTTTGTCACCAATCGTGCTTAGGAAAGACCCTGCGAGCGTGTTACCACGACCCAGCCGAAAGCTGATGAAATCGCGCGTCAGACATCACGAGCGTTGCCGTGAGTTGCGTAGGCGGACGAAAACTGGAGTGCACTAGCAACACGGTGAACTGGACAGGTGGGCGGACAAGTATGTGTGGAGCGTGGGCGTACAGTCAAATCCACATTGTGATACCGACATATAAATATGAGCGTTCTTTGCCCTAATATAACTCTATTCTGCTGTGTCTTCTTCTGTCTTCCTTCCGGTCGGGTTTGCCAAGGCGTCAAACAGAGCACGCGTAAGGGCGTAGATTTAGCAGCAGGCGTGAATCAACCGGTCGATTGCAGGGCAGCGTTATAACAGCATGACCAGCAAATGACGACAGATAAAATAGTGTAACAATAGGTAGTGCAAGCAGATCACCCGCAGCAATAAGTGCGACGGTCGATGGCAAAATGGACGCACTGGGTCAGCGAGTGGACATGTGTTTTGTAGATGCATTCGAACTAGAGGAGGTGTCGTTTTAAGGCATCGGTAAGCAACCAACTCAAGAGGCCAAGTCGAAAAGTGATTGAAATAACAGAACTGGTCATTCACTAGAGGAAAAGTGTAGAACCGCAGGAAGGCGGCGGCAGATAAGAACGGCTCAGATACAATGCAAATCCTAGGGTGCAACATTTTTAGACAGTTCTCTCATACACAACCGCAAAATCAGTCAAAGTGCGTAGCTACCTCAGTGCAATCGATGAGCTAATGGAGCTTGTGAACTCGGTTCATCGTCTCAATCTTTCAACCTAATTATCTAACTGACTCTTAAGTCGTTTGTCTCATCATTAACGCCACGTGGTTGTTGAACTGTGTCGAACTTGTCCTCCCGTAGTTTGGTTGTACGCATCCAAAAACGCCGAAGCGGACATCATTCTCAACTCTAGAACTGAATCATAGCTAGCTGACCCTATCCAATTATGAGCAGCGCCCTTCATGATGGTAACTAATGTTTGTACGCGGGGCAACGCTAGGACTTGTTTGCCTGTGTTTGCTGCTTATGTCTTCAGCGAATGCAGTTTTGACGAAGCAAGCTCCGCCACAGTGTCACCAGCGCAGATACCGGTGTGATTGCATGGGATATAAGCACGCAATTAGCCCACCGCCTAATTCCAAGGATCTGAGGTAGATGGGAAGTTTAGACTGAACTCCAAACGAGCAGACCATGACGAGCATCTATTGCAACTGCACGACCGATATCAGCTACTTTCTTAAAAGTACCACAGCATCTTCTGGGAATTAAACAGTGCTAGTCCCAAGTTCAGATGGCATGGTTTTACTCAGGAATACCACAGTCTCTGACGGTGGAATGAAACCGCTTGCTGGTTTGCTACTGCGCGCCTCAAACCAGATAGCTCCTGGTCAAATTGGTTTAAGCCCATCAACTCCCACCTTAGGATGGATGTAGTCGCAGGTGTGTAACCCACAACGATCTGCAAATACATGCGCACTGTTCTAAATCTTCAAAGGATGTGTGTGACAAGTCTCAAGCAGATCCCAATCAATCTCTGTAATCACACTTCCCAGTTGGACTTACTCACCACTGCCGTGTGGGTCAGGCCATTGATTCAAAAGCCCCGGGAGAAGTCCACCAAGCGGACTTATTTGGCAGTGAAGGATGAGCAGCACTATAACCTAATCAATTGTCAGTGATGCATGTCAGCGGCCGTCACCCATGGCTTAATGGCACAAGCCGCTGGCTTCCGGAAATCATGGGGTCGGAACCCGACAGGAGTAAGAGGAAGACGCAACACTGATAGACTCATAAGGTCTAAATAGCTATCCGGTGCTTTCCCGGACGTGTCGGAGGTTGCTGATTGAGGGGACTGCGACGAACTACCTGTGGAACTTAATTGTACCCAATGGCCGTAGAGTCGGATACCTCGAACAAAACCTCCCTGAATTGGCAGCTGTGTGTCAATCTGGCGATGTCAGTAGTGTGACTAAATCCACCGCATTTCGGTCCCTGAATCATGTTTGGTTAAATTGAGACTGCGCCCGGGCACGTGCTGTGTATGCTAAATGACCGTTTACCGAAGAACCGTTTTATTTGCCAGATGCATTATGGTGCAAGATTCGAGGGGTACACCGGTTGACTTGGTAACTGGAAATGAAGCCACTCACGAGTAAACTCGCCATTCTTGGTCCGTCTCGTCTTCAAGCTGCAATCAAGAAAGTAATCTTAAGCTTGACTCGAGATTTTACGGGACACAGTTCACAGCCAGCACCAGTGGCGCGTCTGCTGACGTTGCCTAGCTTGGCTACCTGTTTGAATTGTGTACGATGCTAAGTTATCTGTGGGGTAAAACAGAATATGACGCAGGGAAAACGTCGACATATCGTCGTAAAACAGCAAGCTGCTTGTGGATATGTTATTGACAAAGTATAAGTGTCTTAGTCCTGAATAATTGACTAAGACAGTTAGGCTCTACACTAAGTCCATAATTAATCCTTAGTATCAAATCACGGCAACTAAATGGTCGCGGTTGCACGACAGCTGATAGTAAACTTTCCCCGTGCCACTTTATGCGTTCTGCAGCTGATGAAGGTGCAATAATGAGGTCGTGGAAAGCCTGACATGCACCGTGGCATATTTGTCTTGTGAGCGCAAACCAGCTTCAAAGGGTTAACAGATCCTGAGTAGATGGCAATTTCGATAAGTCTGTTGAGTAGCGTTAAAAGCTGTTTACGAAGTAACATGAAGACTATATAGAAAATGGCCAATGTGTGGACAGTAACATGGTACATGAAAGCTCGCAAGCATTGTGAACGCTTCGGTAGGCTCTAACCCAGAACCTCAGGCCCATATGTGACATGACAGTTACAGTGCAATGCAAGCATGAGGCGAAAAACAAAAGCCTTAGGAACAAAGAACAAGGAAATTAGACAGTCCAAAAAAGCATCACCAAGTACTTCACGTCCATACCGGAACCGAGACATTTTAGTGAGTGAACAACTCACACGTAAAGCACGCGGATTGCGGAGCATATTCATGAACGCTGGCTGACTCAATTGATTGGCCAACTGGGGAACCATTTGTCGCATCCGGTCTCTAATACTAGAGTCCACATTCGCAATCATTGGGTTGTTCATGATCAAGCCCTCCATCACTGAAGGATCGGCACTTATGGCTTCAAGCATGGCCTGTACATACGGCACCTGGTTGAAATAAGACAGGATTTGGGCAGAGTGGGGATGAGTCAAACAGTGGAGTGATGCTAACGACCGCAAAAAGATGGGACAACGGGTGTACAGTCAACATTAAGTAGTGTCATGAAGGTTAGCCAGAGAAATATGACATTCTAGTAATTGATCAGAGATCGTCGATTCAAGCTGTTAAGAAGAAGCAATTCAGTGGTTGATGGATAAACAAGCAAGCAAGTTGGAGGATCAAACGCTGTCGTGTCAGATTCAGGGAAACTTGCAATACGATAGCCCGATAAACTGTTACAATGAAATAACACGATTGAACTGTGTCTCGAGCGGATATGGTGAAGGTGGCTAGTGAACAGGATCGAAGTTACGACTGTGTGACCAACGAAGTTGAATACGAGTTGAATACGTATAAGTGATATGGAGGACAGATAACGTGTAGGGAGAAGCAAAGGATAGACAAAGGACAGCAAAAGATGGTTACTGGCAGGACCGGCCAGTTTAGTAAACAGCTGAAAAGGTAGACGGATATGATGTAAACGATATAGGTTGTTGAATCACAGTTTCCGTCACACGGAATCTAATAGAAGTGCCACGCGGGTCCTCTACAAAACAATGCGTAAGGATAAAAATGAGATTGAGGCCATTAGATTAAGGTCACATAACACTGACGAGAGAATATCATAGTGGATTTGGCGGCAGTGATGAGGTATAGGATTTAGATAACGCTTTCACTTACCTGGGAGTACCCAGAGGTCGGAAGTCCATACAAATAGTGCTAAAGGAACGCAACGTGGATTCCATGGACAAAACTATGGTTGCATCTTATCGTTTAAACTAGATGGCATGAGTCGCAAACCGTGGATTAAACGCGAGAAACAAACCACCAGATAGCATGTAAGAGTTTTCTTAGTAATGGCGGTTTGATGGATGAGATCTCCTTGCGTGCCTTCAAGGATAGAGTAGCTTTGTTAAGCCTCCGTTATCTGTGATGTCGTCGTGAACTCAGCCTCACTTCAAAGGGACGAGTCTACAAAGCTGCAGTAAAAGTGGTTCCGAGATATGGCTACGAGACTTCGCCCGTTCGCAAGGATGATGTTCAGCGGCTATCTGTCTACGACCACCGTTGCTCGCGGAACAGTGCGGGTGTTCGATGGCAGCATCACATCAGTAATGAGGTCCGTAGGTGGTCTTCGAAGTCGACAAATTCTGCTGACCGATTGACAGCATCATTTCACTGTGGAAGCTTCGCTGGCTTGGGCAAGTGCTTCGCATATCTACCCAGCGGTCACCACGACACGCCCTATTTGTGAGTGAAGGTGTGGGCTGAAAGCGAGGATAAGGAGGCCCTCTAATGTGTTAAGGCGTAAAAGTCAGAGCTGGCTGTTGCTGGGCGTCCCTGGTTCCTAAGTGGGGGACGAGAAGATGATGAGTACATCTGGTTGTAAAGGCTACAGGCTATGTCCAAGGACCGTACGCCATGGCGCACTTCTGTGAGGCTCTTCTTCTCTGTCAGTTTCCCTTTCAATTTACTGTTTATTCACTAATGTGTTGTGTCACTAAGCTAATTGTATCATAACTGATGAAGTGTTGAATATAAACATGCACGTTTAGTGACATACAATAAACCAATAACGAATTGGGAGAGAAGTGGGTACGAGCAACTAATCGTGGAAAACGTCTGGGTACTAAAGCTTAGTGAAATAATAAAGGAAAAGATCACAAGACTAGGGGAAGTCAGATGATCTTGTTGCCTCGTAAATACCGGAAGACATTCCATGAAGTTTAACGGCTGTGTCACACAGTAAGCGAACCTTGGCCCACTTAAGAAGAGGATCGACTGAGATGCCGCGCAGAAGATACATGATCCGAATACTTTACTCTTCTGATAGACAAACCGTACCGCAATTGCCATGCACGCAACAAAATAGAAAGGTGTCATCGAATTAAGGAAGCAAACATTTGTAGTGTGGAAGTTTAGAAACACTGGAGCGGATATTAAGTAAAAATGGTAAAGCGGATTACTTGGAAAGCATTGGACAGAAGTTCCGGCTCTGATGATATCTGATTGAGCATATTTTGCATCATGTTAGTGTTCTGGTCGCTGACAGGCGGGGTCGGGGTAGGTAGATTGCCAGATGTGTTGTTGGATGCAGGAGCCCATGGATTTGGCATTGGTTCGTTCGTGGGTGCTGCACGGCGGACTCCTAAAGACAAGACAAGTCAAACTGGTTTGATAGGATTTAAAGATAGAAAACAAACGGAAAGGAAATTGAGAGAGACGGAAGTGAAGTTAAACGAAGTTAGAACTTAAAACGTACCAGCCAGGTCAGCGAAAGGATTTGAAGAAGTTTGATCACTAGCAGGTGCACCCATATTGGCTGCTGCGTTCATGAGTGGTTCTTGTATATCACGAAAGATACGTTGAAGGTGATTCATGCCACCGGGAACAGCCTCCAAATTAGACAAAGCACGATCATAATTTCGCACCATTTCTTGCATCATCGCCGGATTTCGAGCTATTTCAAGCGACTGTCGGAGAAGCTCCGGATTATTTAGCATATGTGAAACCTCAGGATTGCGCTAACAGGAATAGAAAAAGAAACGCAGAACTGACAGTGTGTCAGTATGAGAGTAAATGCACAAAAAGGACATGATTCTAGGTGTCCGATCCGATTACCAAGTGGAAAATGCCTATCAAGTCAGGAAAGAACAACTGTCAGGAATGATTTCAATTCAGTAATATCAATATGAAATGGTTTTTCGGTCGTCAATGACGAACAAGGAGGATGAATTGAATACCGGCCGGCATGATGTTTCAGGCAGCATAAGGATTTTCGAGGCTGCTTGTCAGCCCAAATTGACGCATACAAAATGGGTGTCTGCATCATCGTGAAACGGTGAGTAGGAATCCTAAAAGTAAGCCATTGCGTTAATGGCAGACGAGGACCAGTAAAAATAGACTAGAGCTATCGTGAACAGTGGAGTTTTGTCCAAAACTCAACGAGATAACAGTAAAAAATGCATGAATAGTTTATCTAAAATTATCCCGATTAGGTCCACAAGAGGAGCATTTTGAAGAGCAGTCTATCAGACTTATGGTGACACAACTAGCTGCAGGATCCTTCGAACCCGTGTTGGGCGTAAATTCGATGTGAATTTCAAAGCTTGAGACGAAAAAGGGTGTCAGGACGAGACGAACTTCCCACTTCGCCGATGAGAGACGGAGGAGGTCCATCGGTAATTGACACAGCTACTTTATTCAACAACATATTGTAGATTGAAAGGTGGAGAACGATGAACGCCGTCACACTCCTAACGACACGAGGTAAAGTAATGTGAAAATCATCGGTGTCAGTCTTATTATCGCTGCCTCGAGACTACCCGCAAGCAAAATACTCTGCTAATCACTGATCCGCATGAAAGTCGGGACGCTGGCCACATATTTACACTTCAAATGTTGGAACAGTGATACCCCTAGGGACGATGCAGCATAAGGATTTTCCCTGTCAAATTCTGACAGTACATTGTACTGGTTTGTGGAACCGATCGCAGTCGAGCGGCGTGCCAAGAAAACTTGTCATTTGGAGCTTGTTCGGGGGACTACAGGTGATAGTGTGGAGTATCAGGCTCAAGAGCAAGACCACAGATCCCACTGGGTCCTCAACTATCGTCAAACAACGCATAGCGATCGTGATATACAGGAATCGAATTGAGTTTTTAACCTGTACACTGCCGTCGCCCATAAACTCGTTAAGCGAAAAGAGGGAGGTCGACTTTTTCTAAACCTTAGGTGAGGGATATGCTGAGACTGTCAAATCACTGAGAGGTCCGGGATGAATCGTCTTGAAAACACTTGGAAGATGCTACTTGAATCAGAAATAGGTAAATCATCCTTTTGTGATGGGTACGCGCGCGGCGTACCGGCTGTTTTTTAGCAGTACCACTTTCAGACACCGTGGGCGCTGAAGTGCCAATTGGCGTCTACCTATAGCTAACCAGTGATGGATCCAAACTGATCACGCTGTGTTACAGGTTGTGTGGTTTCATTATTGATTGCCCATTGTTATGAAAAAGTTGCGTAGACTCTGCGCACGCTTTGGTAGGCTGCCGTATTTCCATGAGCTTTACCGTGAGGGGTACGAAGCGTATCCTTTGGTTGGCAAATGGGAAGTTATCCCAGTCTACCGCAAGGCAACTGTACCAAGGTGTTCTGCGTACCGAACTGTCATCATTTCGTCCTAAGTACACTGAGCTTCGGTGAAATAGAGTCGCGACCGCTACGCACGATGCAGGAGCCACTGCTTTCTGCACTATCAGTCGTCGACGTACCAATCACGTATCAGCAGTACGACAGCACATAGTACCGACTCTTTGTTGCCATGTAACCACCAACATTCGCGCGTGGAGTGCGGATACTCCGACGGTCGCTATATCACCTACACTGGCTCGAAGAAGAGGCATCGGATTACAAGTCTTATTAGGATCATTTAGGTTACGGCCCGGCAGGTGTTAACTAAAACGGAGCATGGTGGATTAGTAAGGCTCAAGAAATGGGGGGGGGGTGGGGGCAGAATGCAAATATCGCGAGCTCTTCCACTGGTCCCAGGAGACCAGGCGTCAAAACCAGAGACAGTGCGGGTGCGCTGATTCGCAATAAAGAGCGCTGGCTGGTTAGTTAGGTGGAACAGTTCCGAAAGCTGTTCAGTTGGGCGACGGTTTGCGTGCAGCTTTGCTGGATAATGCTTTCTTCATCTTCCGAGTCACCCATACCAGGTTGGTCAGTGGTTAGAGGCCAGAACAACTCAGTCAGCTGGATTTCCCGGGTGGAGATTGGCTCCTTACTTTATGAAACGTAATCTTTGTAACCAAGTGCCGAAACTCCGCCGCACTGCGGTCAGGTTTTTGAACCAAAGACTGGGTGAGACCCCTAATCCTTCTCCTGTTCAGGTCTGAGCAATCTGGCAGTATCCTGCCCATGCAATACGATGTGCTTCTGTTCTAGTGATTTCTTGATGATTTGGCCGTCGCAGAGGAGAATCAACGGCGTCATATCTGCTGCATCGAGAACAGTGGGTAGGAGTTTGGATGTTACTGGTCAAGCCTCCTCGTTTTCTTGTTCCCCACATGCGTGTTTTCATCCTCATCGTTCCGCTCCAAATTCACTCTTACTCGCCATGGTTCCAACCACCCAATTCCTGACCCTCCTTCATCTTGCTTCAATGGTCGCTTGTCTTTTAGTTTCGACTTACACGCAGCCGCAGAGCATCGCTCCACTCTAGTCGACAACTCCATGTCCAACCAGATGGACAACGTCAGTTCAACCGTTCAAGGAGCCCCCGAACCTCGCTAAGACTGATAGGCCTCAACGTGCGCATTTTATTGTAGATTGGCTAACAGGCGGCACTTTCCCGAACACTGGAGACCCTATCAATTGCTATTTGCTGTTTGGCGGAAACTCACCTGCAAGACTCGAAGTCTGCGATTACCATGTGATCCCCCACAAACGACACTGGCGGTACGTTTTCATTGCGTATCTAGAGATACTGGTCAAGTCGATGTGGGCATTCCTCTGAATGCGTGGGCTGAGGCTGCCCTGGTCGACAGGATCTCAATGAACAGCCGGATGTGGGTCATCAGAACGGCTGGATCATTCAAAGCTTCGACATCGCGCAGGGACAAACGGCGATTGATCGTCATTGCGGCCTATGCCCTCACAATGATTCGGTAAAAGATGAATTCTATCAGCAACTTAACGAGCTCATTCGTTACGGAAGAAGTAGGTATACTGTGGTGCTGGCGGGTGATCTTAGTTTAGGTCAGTTGAACAGCTATGATCCTAGCACCGAAGTGTGGAGAATCCAGTTGCCACGACTCCCATTGTAAGAATAACAATGGTAAGAGAAAATGAAAGTAAGGAAACACGGAAGACTAATCAGAATGGAACGAACACTAACAGCTAGATGAAAGAAATCGAGTGTAGGAATGCCAATGACTGCGCCATGGCTGACACGGTCTTCAACCATTGGGGTGGACCATCCGCAGGCCCCCATCCAGGAAGACGGCACACACCAGCCTGATCAAATCTCCCAGTTGAGTTCTTCAAGCCACGTCATGGACTGGCCACCTCGCGGTTTCACATAACTTGGTGTAGCCACGGCGTATAGTGCAAGCCGAGAAAGCGGGTCAAGGGACATAAGTAAAACATACCCTAGCCAACGTAGGCGATTAAGATTCAGCAAAGACCCTAGTGAAGCACCAGAATGTTTCTTGCCAAAAACCAACTGGCGGACCTCAGCACTGCACACCTGATGTTCCCACCAGACGTGTATACTGCTCCGAAAGCACTGGTAGTCAAACACGGCCAAGCGTTTAACGTCTTCGCCACGAAGTGGCCAGATCTCTGATCCTGACAGTAAGACCGGTCTTACCGCGGCATTATACCTCCTACCTTTCACAGACAGGCTGATATCCCGCCGTTTCCCTAGATGGTTGAGTCTCGGAAAAACAACACAGAACTTGTTGGTGGGTGATCTGAATATCCAAGCTGGAGAACTATCCGCTGATGAACTGCACTTGGGCGACCAATATCGTGTAGGCAGCCTTAATGATAACGATGAGCGGTCGCTATATCATTGTGAAGATGTGCAGTGACCTGGAGATTCCCCAGTATGACTGTGTAAACTATTCTAAAATATATTAAACTTATAGCTTTCTAATGTATTAGGGAAGTAGGTGATTTGCCTGCTGGAACGTTGTTCCCGTATGTTTGAAACACAAACACGATATCCGCCTTTGGCGCGCGACTCGACTGCGAACGACGCTCCGTCCACGCACTCGACGCCCAACTACACCCTCTCTGGTTAGCTCTCTTCTGGTGCCCTATTTTTAGCATTAGCTAACTCTCCTTCCGTCCAAATAAACATTTGCCCTAGCTTACTTTTGTGTGTTCTACCCATTGCCTTTGGTTGGCCGTCTAGTCTCGTGCCGGATATATAGCGCACGACCATCTCGCTAAAGATTCTCGTCTATTTCTCGCTAGCGCTAGCCTCCAACAGAGCAGTCGGCGGAGGGTGACATGGCGTCCACTAGCCTTACGCCAGCCATGGACGCAAAGTGATAGCATTGCAGTCAGTTAGCACTGGAGTGGCAGTGTCCAAAACCGTTGTTCGATTTGGAGCGCAAGCGTGGACCCTGATCACTTACTCGTTCGTGCCGATTTTGCAGTTCACTTCGGTGGGCGCATGCGATGAGGGCATGGATACATATCAACTGACGAAGCCAGATGTACTAAATGTATATCAAAGTACGCTGGCATCCGACCTGAGTAAGCGCTCTCTGAACAATGGCCGCATAGTTACCAGACATCATTAGCAGCAGGCCTGTCAAATTGCCAAACAGGACATTAGCTTTTTATACGGTCGCACAGATACATTCCGGTTGATAGCGAAGGCAACGAGACACGCAAACACCTCAGGGCAAAACTGCGTGCTAGTCTGAAGAGACCACGAAGCTTAGTGGTCTCATCGTGCATCGAAGATGGAATTGATCAGTAAACTTGACAACCATCATAATTCATTTCG